CAAATCTATTGCACCAGGTCTATTGCACCCCCCCCTGTCGCTGGACCGCCTCTTGGGTCAACCCGATTCGGGCATCCTGCACACCGCGAAGTCCATGTCGCCCGCGGGGGCGCGAAGATGATCCCGCTTCAAACGTCGAGGTCTGGGCCGGAGCGGGTGCCCTTCTCTCCAAGGCGGCCGCGCGAGGGCACGACGGCGTGCCAAAGGTAGCTGCGCGACGCGCATCGCGAGGTGCGGTGCGCAAAGACAGGCAACCTACAGGATTCAGGGAGCAAAGAATGACATAAACATCAAAAAACAACTCGGAGGTGCGCGCGGATTTCTCGGATCGGCGCTGGACCCCCCCTCCCCGGCGCGCGGAGGGCGCCGGGGGCGGCGCCCGAGGCGCCGCCAGGGGGCCCCAGCGCCGATCCGACAAATCCGCGCGGACCTCCGGGTTATCATGTTCATGTCATTGTTCGTTCCCCGGAGGACCTCCCAGACATCTGCCGAGCCGTGTGCCCCGAGAGCTCTTCCGGCAGGACCTCTCCGCGTACACGCGCGCCCGCGCCACACGGCCGGCGCTCCTCCTCCTCCTCCTCCTCCTCCTCCTCCTCCTCCTCCTCCTCCTCCTCCCCCTTCCTCCCCCCCTCCTCCTCGTCCTCATCCTCCTTATCCTTTTCCTTCTCCGCCGTCCTCCTCTTCATCCTCCTCCTTCTTCCTTCTCTCTCCTTTCTCTCCTTCTCCTCCTTCCTACCCCTTCCCCGCCTCCTCCTTCCGTCCTCCTCCTCCTCCTCTCCTCTCCTCCTCCCCCTCCCCCTCCCCCCCTCCTTTCTCCTTCTCCTCCTACCCCCTCCTCCTCCTCCCTCCTCCTCCCCTCCTCCTCCTCCCCCCTCCTCCTCCCTAACGTCCTCCTCTCCGCTTCCCCCACCGCCCCCTCCCGTCCTCCTCCTCCTCCTCCTCCTCCCCCTCCCCCTCCTCCTCCCCCTCCCGGCCGAGGGGCTGACTCCTGGGCGGAGACGAGGACTAGGAAGCGGTGACGCATCGCCGACGGTTTGGCGATACAGTCAAGACGCTGAAGTAAGGAACAGTTTGGATTCGGAAGGGGCTCGATGTTCCTTGAGTTCCTCCAGTGGTGTTTCCCTTGCCCTCCTGGGGCACGGAGGCGCTCACAGGGCCAAGAAGGGGCTTCGTTCCTTATTTGGCGTTCCTTCTTTCAGCAGCCCGACTGTAGGCCCCGGAACGCCCTTGGCGAGGCGCAGTTGCTGGAAGGTGTCCCGAGACCGGAACG